CCAAAATACAGTCTTTGTCTACAAAAAACAACACTATCATAAGGGCTGACTTGTGTCGAAGGCCACATATTAGGCAATATCTTATCTTATACGTCAGTCAGAAACTCAGTGTACCGTGCATCGTGTATTGTTTCCGGTGCAGCACAAGCATGACATGTTGTTTCTTTACAAGATAAAACTAAACATCACATGCAGCAAACGTAACACTTCGCTAGACAAAACACACAAACAGTTAAGACACGCAATGAGAAGGAATCTAGAATTAGAAAAATCTGATCCTACCCTCCCTCTCTCAGCTAAAACATATTTATCAGTGAGCAGCAATTATAAAGAAGACACATCGTATGACAGAAAAATATGATTGGATTTATGCTAAAGGCGACTGGAAAAAGATCATCTACTTCCACATGACATCCTCACAGCTCATGTATATTTGGATTATAATCTCTCACCTCTGTTGGGACAACATAAATGCATCCTATCAACATAAGCCCTCTATCCTCTTCCAAACTGAAATCATGTTTCTAAATATAATCCCTTATTTTTCATCTACATCGCCTTTTCATCAGAGTCAGGACATTACATCCCATAATAGAAAAGGTAATAGGATACATACAATATGATACAGAAAAGGTGGGTGGTGCAAGTCAGATATTTAGTGGATTTTAGTGGTAAATGCGAATTAATGCGATTTATTACAGGCTGAAACTCGTCTGCGACGTGTAGCAGGCTTTGTAGGGGTTTTCAGCATACAGTAGATCTGATCTGGGATCAACTAATAGAGACATTAAATTGAGGTTATGTGGGTCAGAGAGAAAAGGATTTGACTTACCTGAAAAGCATCATTGTCAGCGCATATAAGAGAAAGACAGAAAAAAAGGTGATTAGAAACAGTTTAAGTTTAATTGTATCTTGCGTGTAACTGTATATTTCTGTGTACAGTAGGAGTGTGTATATGCACTGGGCTGTGAGCCACATCACCAGATTTCCACGTCTGTCTTTTAATGAGGCCTTGCTGGTTTATAAACCCCCCCCAACAGCAAATTTTCATCTGCTAATCTGGATTTACATGCAGACTACATAATGATGACAAGTGTGTATCGCTGTGTGTTTGTCCATTCCTTAGCTCATCCAAAACTCCCCCAAAAAGACTGTTATGCAAGACTTTAGTCTCCACTGAATACTCTTAAATTTCACTATGTATCTCACACAGACAAATATATCCTAAAAGACCTTTTCATACAGTCTAGTCTCATTAATGGCATTTTATAATGCCATTAATGAGACTAGATGACCCATTTCTGGTTCTGGCCGCTGGTATAATATTTAGGTTAATATGTTGTTGCCCTAAATGTGTAAATGAAGGTCAAAAAATAGAAAGTCACAGTGACATACTGTAGATACAATAAAGCAAATCACACACAAAATTCAACCAAACACTAAATCCCTCAATCCCACTTGCATGTTAACACGGTACACTGCCACTTGCCAAAAAAGGAAATCTCAATAAATTAGAATCAAGAGTCATGAAGTTCATTTCATGCAGTGACTTGCTGTACACAACACATGAGCAGCATATAGTAATATAGTAAGAAGCTGTAAAGTAATCATGTAAAGTCCAGATCCAGCCCGGGGCCTGACTGTCTGATCTATTTCTTGACATGGCCTTCCAGAACAGCCATCAGGCCTGCCCGTTGATTGATTGAGATATACAGCCGTACAGGGGGGAGATCAATAGGTTTTGATTGAGGAGATTGATCAGGTCATTGTGTGCCTGGAGTAAGAAAGAGAGAGGAAAGGAGACAGTAAGAGGAGGGGGGGAGTTCAAAATATTGATGGAGGAGTCTGAGAGAAGACTATCACCTCTTTTTCACCGTTACTTAGCTGTTGCCACCTGCAGGCTTCGGGGCCTTATGATCAGAGCTTTTTCTCGAATGTGTCCCAATTCTACATTACATACAAAAACTAAAGTAGGTTTCCAGTACGTTATGAAGATGTCAGTATGCATACTAAATACCCTTGATTTTTGTGTGTGCTGTTGTCCCCACAACACATTGTGCAAAGAAAAGTCAAAAGTAAAAAAAAAAATATGGATAGCGGTTAGAGAAGTTCAAGGAACATCTCATAAAACTAGACAGTATTAGATCTTTGGGGCATCCTGATGGAAAGAAAATAATAATACACCAGTCACAACTCAGTATTGTTGATCCACCTCAACTTGCCAGATCTTTACCAGAACAGCCAATAGCAGCCTGTGTAACAGACGGCTCTCTTACACATGATTGGTTCAGAGTTACCCCAATAGGAAGGTCAAACTGAACCACACCAGGAAACACTCTCTTGCACACCCGTTTCCTTGGCAAACGAGGCAAACACCCAACCAGTCAAGCTGGAGGCTGCGTCAAAATTGCAGCTTTAGGAGCCACAGGCACTCATTTTAGGGCTATATTTACACACAGGCACGGTGCGCGGCTGCCCATGTGTCTTGTAATGGGTCCTGGCAAGCTTGTGGAAGCAAGATCCAGATGTTATAAATACTTCAGGTTCAAACTAGAGAGGTATTCTTATGAGATGTTTCCTCTGTGTGGTGTGCAGTGTGCATATGTGTGTATGCTTGTATGTGCGCTCTGGATGGAATAGTTTTATACTGACCTGTCTCTGACACTGTCTCAGGCCTAGAATTAGCTATAAAAAGATATAGACTGTGTGTATAACAGAGAGACACAGAAAGAAAGAAAAAAAGGGTGTGGGGGGTAGAAAGAAGCACAGTAGTCTTTGGGGGGAAAAAAAGTCTAGTAGTCAAATAACACAATATGGATTGATGGATTAGCAGACTGACTTCTCTCCATCTCCAAGATGTGCTGTTAGCTGATATAACAAAATCAATAAACACTCCTCCTTCCTTCCTTTAAGATTTAACAAGTAAATGTTCAATTACCATCGAACGAAACTGACCATTTTGGATCTGCTTCCAGACTCTACCTCCTACATAATCAACATGGAAAATCAAACTATTATTAAATTAACAGTGAAGGGATTAAAATTAGATGTGTCAATAAGCCATGAGGGAGAAAAAGATAAGGTAAGCTGATAGAAGAATCAAACAGAAAAATAACATGGAGTATAGTGCATTCAGATTAAGATTTGGCTGCACACTTGACAAAACCAATGCATGCAAACACACATGCAGATGAATTTAATAATAAACATTAATGTTTTTTGGTTTACAACTTACATACACACACGTTTTATACCATCTGACATAATGCGGTGAACATCTAAAGCCTTGGTTTTAATGACGACATTCCAAAACGGTGACCGCAGCTTCTACCCTTTGACTCTACCCTTTGAAAATGTGAGGACCTCAAAACATGCCAGCCATGTGCAGCCCTGGTCTGTTTTGGGAAGGGGCAGGTTAAGAGGTGGTATGAGTGACTAGTAAGGATTGAGACATGCAATAAACGACACCAACAGCAACTAGCTAGATCCACATTCCTGTGAGGCAACAAAGTGGCAACTTGTGCTGTTTGCAACTGTTGACTTTGCTCATCCGCATCCTAGCGTGCAAAATGTACCTGGCTACGGGAGCAGTTTAGCGCCAACTTGCAGACTACGCCTTGTAGAGGTTGATCACTTTCCCAGGCCAACAAGCCGCTGACCAGACCAAGGCCACTTCCTGTAAAGGGTCTCTGTCTTGTTGTTTTGGTCCGCACACAGATATGATTACCATGTTCAATTCTGCCCAAAATGAATCATACCAAGGGGGAAAAAACAAACCAAACCAGTCGGATTCAACCACACTTAAACAACCAGGTTTGAAAACGCCCTTATACATGTGTCCTGGTTTTCCGTCGGAGAACAATGGAAACAATCCTGATGTTAATGCATGTCAGTAAAGTCACAAAATAGTGTCTTATTAATATAGTCACATGCAGACTATATTGCCATAGAACTGTGCATATGTAAACATGTAGGTAAACGACTATGTAACATGAGCAAAGCAAATATCTACTGTACATTGTTCAGTGTTGCCACATTGTGTCCAAGCTTCAATATCAGATTTGTTTGCATTCAAAGCTTCCCTGACGATATCCGAACACTGAAAGTAATTTTGGTATCATTAGAGTGGGTGATGAATGATTATGGATGTTCTTGCTGATTTGAGTCCAGCTGAGACAGACTTGTCACTGTAGCTGGAGACGACGGCAGTATGGGTCATGGTTAATGAAGAAAGTTAAGGGAATATGGTGGAGCATATGTGTCTTTTTTCCATTTTAAGGTGAAGGTTAGACTACAGTTACAACCATTGTCCCCTAAGTCTTACTGACACCACTGACCAAATACACATGCACAACTAATGAACTGATCAATAAATAATGAGCCCAGTCGGGAAACACAATACCCCTGAGGCATTGAGAGAGGTATAAATGGCATTCTTACCTTGATGTCCAAATCTAAACTTGAAATGTCATTAATGAAAGAAGATTATTCTACAGTATAACCACTCGGTCTGAGTGATGGGCTATGCAAGCCTCCGCACACGGACTCTTCCTCTCCCTGGCACCAAACCCTGTGCTCACATCGCCACCAGCCTGTGACATCACTGTGCCCGTGACATCACCAGCCTGACGCATCATTGTTTACCTATCACACACTCACAAAGTCCCCTTTGACCCCCTAACTGTCCCACTGATCGCAGATACCTCCCGCTCGCTCCCTATAGCAACCAGGAAGTGCCAGTGCCGTGGAGCCGGAGAACAAGGGGCCATAAAAAGACAGTGACCCACTTCTTGCTTTGCTTGTGCATGTAAACAAGTCATTCACTGGCTTCCTGGTTGAGAGCGAGAACAAAAATCCATTCAAAGGAGCTCAAGACATTGTGACAAGTTGTGATGCGGACAAGCCAAACATACCATGTGTTTTAGTGGGTGTGCATCTCATGAAAGATACTAACAGAAATCAATACGCAATTCATCATGCTGTCGTTCCTTCCCTCTCACCTATTTTGTGTTGAGGCTGGTAAACCCAGTTGTCATCATCGTCCCCCTCGCCGCCGTCTGCGGCATGAAGTTGAGTGTGCGAGTGTGAGCACGTTTGATGGTTGTGGATGGCATGGAGCTCATTCTGGCTGTGGAAGATGCGTCTGCTCTGGCGGGAGAGGGTGGACACGCTGAGCCAGCTCAGAGCCCGGGTCAGGCCTGCAGATTTCTCCTTACGAAAGGAAGCGGACCTCCTGTCCCCTCTCATCCTCATTCAGGGTAAACAAGTCCAAGACAGGAGGATGTAGGATCAAACTGTTTTAATCTACAAAGATAATCCCCAGATGTAGATCCTTAGATGGGTTGGTAGATATTCACTGTAAGTCCAGATCATGCGATTCCAAACATATCTGACTACAGCATTGAGGTCTGCAAACGAGCTAATATGCTTCAAAGTTTTCAGATTCTATGTTAAGAATCAAATTAGTTCCAGGTGGAAGTTCAGCCCAGTTTTCCTTCACTTTGGTTGCACAGTTCCACATCATGACTCTGAACCCGACAACTTCCAACCTCTTTCTCCATCAGTTAATCTCTGTGTCACAAGCCAAAAGTCAGACTTAAATCATCCCTTTTCCTTTCTTCTCTTCCTTTGTCCTTAAAGACTCCAGGCGGGATTCCCAAATCCAAAGAGGTAATTAGGCAATCCAGCAATCTGGAAAATCACCACCCCTCAGCGGCATACACTCCAATACACACACTCATATGTGCGCACTCACTGTTGGCAGTAATGTTGCTTGGTGGTGCATGACAGGGTGGAGAGAGGTTTCCAAATTACATTAAGATACTTTTCAATCACTGCGAGTCAGCGGTTGCTGTTTACAACCACATGTGCCCTTGAGTGTAGTTATCTCCAGTTGTTAGCACACACACACACACACCAGCTGACACGCACCGTCTTAGTGCCAGGCCAAACCCAGAGGTTAAGAGGTTTCAGCGTCCCTGGGTCTATTCCCAGCCTGATGAAGTTACATGCATACTCACACATTGGCACAAACAAACTCATGTATGAAATCCTCCCGCCACAAGTTCCCAAAAGGGATCCTCTATTATGTGTGTGGGTGCCAGGTGGTAAAGATGAAGCCGCCTCTCAGGGTTTCCAGAGACACCTTCTTCTTATTCCTCTTCTCGCTGTTTTGACCACATTCCCTGGTGTATCGCCGTTACTGGTGCATGAGGAAGAAGCATGCCAAGTTGATGTTGTGAAAACAGTCCCAAAGTGTTGCCAGCTGCCAGGATCTAAATCTCCAATCAGCTGATCAGCACAAGTAATAGCTAGAACCAGGAAGGGAAGCCCACACCTGCTGAACACACACCTACTGTAGGGCGCAGGCAGGCTGATACGACCGGTGTGCTGGTGAGGATTCCCTCAACTCTAGTCTTGGTAAGTCCTCAAGAGCGTAAGTGTGACACTGACTATGTATGTTGTGAGTACAGGGTTAGGATTACACCCAACCCTAGTGGCCACGGTGCTGAAATACGAGTCAGCCCGTCCCTTCTTCCTTTCCTCCCTCCCTCTTTCTCTCCGTTTTCTAGGATCCCTGATCTCTGCCCCTCCCCTTCATCCGTTTGCCGGCATGGCAACAACTCCCCCCTCCCTGCTTCGTTTCTTTCTTCCCTCCCTTACACCTTTTTTTACCCACTTGTCCTTCTGTTTACTTTCCTCATTATCCTTGTTGTCTCTAGTCCCTCAGGTGTTTTCTTTTCTGGGACAAAGAAACAGCATTTAATTCAGACACTTCCAAATTTGTTGGTCAGATTGGTACACTCGTTTTATCATCTAAAAAAGATTTTTGATGCCAGTTTGAATCAAATAAAACAGAGGCGGACTCTGAGAAAACTTACTCTCTCTATCACTCTCTCTAAAGAGAAACAGTGTACAAGGAAACCACTACATTACTGTAGCTGATACTCTGCCTGAGGTGCTGAAACCAACTGGTTAAACAACAAATTCAAAGTACATGAATATGACACCAAACATGGCTGAACAAGGAGGGGTGATGAAAACACCCACCCAACACAGATGAATCAGTCAAACATTTAAGAAAATGCACTGAAGTGGTTCTTATTTTCAAAAGATTTAGGATAAATATGCAATTAGTGTATATTCTTTGTGAAAAAATATAATAACCAACACATATTTAGCTGTCCAACATAGGTTGGTAAAAACAGCACACAGTGAGGGATAAAAAAAATCTTTATGGGGCGCTACAAGTCTGTTTGTGGTGTTTTCCCACCCAAGTGTAACCACAGAGGGAGTGTCTGACCACCAAGGTGTGACAATAAACCAGCGCTGTGAATGTGTGTGTGTGTGTACGTTTGTGTATTTATATGTATGAAGAATATGTGTCACAGCAACATCACAACCATAACCCCACTAGTTTCCACTCGCACAACCTTGATAAAACATAGATAGAAAATTAGAGGAAGTAGCTTCTGTCTAGAGACAGATTTGAAGCAATAACTTCTTATAATCTCCTGTTGTGGATCCATTACACTGCTGAAAGCTGATCCTAGATTTGTGGATGGGATGTGGTGTAAACCGAGACTTAAACCCCCATCGCTTTGACAGGTCCTTGACCTAATTCGCTTTTTCCCTTTAGAAAGGATATGTACTATCTCAACACTTGCTGTTTACACCAAAGGGACAACTGCCTGTTCATAATGTCCCAGCTTAACTTACAAACATGAGAAAATTTGGAACACACACACACACACACATAAAAATATTTATTTTAAGACCTTTGTCCGCATTGATGACACAGTCCTTTAATAATTAACCTGCATCACTCTCTCCTGTGCAGCGATAAAGGGATCCGTTAGACATAAAAAGGACAACATAAAGTATTAAATGAAAACAGCTGATTAAAACAGCACAGGGCAAGATGTTAACTGGTTTTGATGAGGAAAATTATTAACCCGGTTCAAATTTACACCAACAAGCCAACATGGAAGACAATCTAAAATGAATACAGTGCAAACAATAGACATGAGTCAGGACCAGTTCAGTCTATTATTGATTTCCTCTTTTCAGGAAGAAACGCTGTTTTAGCACCATGACTCTGGGAAGGTTAAAGGTCATCATGAGAGTTCAGCATCCTGGTTCAACCCCCACCTCCCTTCCATTTCATAAATCTCCTTCTTTTCATTCACATAAAGCTGCACAGAGAAGCAACAGCAGTGACAACAATCAGTATGTTCAACCGGGTATCTATAGTGGTGTAGTGGACATTTTTCAGCTGGGCTAAGGTTTGACTGCTTCTGGTCAGAAGAGAACATCAATATAAGTCTTTGACAGCTTTCATCTTTTGCCTAATTGTGTACCTACAAAGACCCCGATCAAATATTTGGTCTTAAAGGGCCAGTCATTTTTTGGTGTCATTAAGTGTTGAGTTTTAGTTTTAGCTTGAAAATCGGCATGTTGTGTGTTTCTCTCAATTACGGGCCTGCATTACTCCGATGCTTATCGTGACTACTAATGAAAATACACAAGTAACAGCATCAGAATACATGAAAAAAAGTTTTATTTTTAAAGTTTGTACTAAAAAACCTGCCAATGATCCTGAGAGGGTTCCAAATGTTTGGTGCGCTTTAGTTTAGATTTGTGTCACAAATTTCTCATTTATCAATATCATCTTTACTTCTGTAGTAAAGAAACTATCCAGTAATCAAAGTAAGACAATAATAAAATAAAGAACTTAAAAATGCAGATACAAATACATTAAAATACAGATCTATGGCCACATTTCTGTGTCTCAGATGGTGAGGGTGTACATGAACTGTTAATGTTAAACTACAATATACCAGAAGATGTACATGCTGGTCATCACCTAGTGCTGGTATTAAAAACTAAATTCCAACTTGAGTTTACTGTAAATTAAGCAATAACTTTATCTGCCACAGCATCACTTCAGCACCAGGCACTGCAGGTTCCAGGGAAAGAGTATGTGACTGCAAAATGTCAACATGTGATCATATCATGAGAGCCACGTAACAGTAATTAGCAGTTAAATGATAACAGACCCTGAACCATATGCTGTTTAAACGGGTTGTACAGGTCCACAATGTCAGTTTGGGACATACCTCTCATGAATGACAAGAAAGGAGACAGCAGGCAAAGCAAACGTAAGGACAGACATTGATGGACTAAAGTTAAGCTGCTAGCGTAATTAAAGCTAAACTACCTGAAATAATAATAATTTAAAAGGTTTTTAGAAAATAAACTGGACTTACACAACCCTGCATCAAAAGGACACAAAATACATAGTAGATACTTGCGACAGTGTGACACTTCTCAGCAAGCAAGTAAAAAGAAAAACATAAAACAGAAACTACAAATGACCACGTGGATCCAAGATCCTTTGAAACCACTGATTATGAAGATAAAACATCTTACTCTGAAAATACAAAATCCTGTAATTTTACTCAAAATGAAGGAGAGCTAGCTAAGCCAACCAAATGATAGATCCTGCTAAATAAACACGCACACACACACACACACACACACACACACACACACACTCGACACGCTGTCACCGGTTTGCGTGGCACGGTCAAGCGGTAGTGACTTGGTTGCCAAGTAACCCAATCAGGCATTTATAGGCCGGCAATGCCTGACATCGATATACACTGACAAGACACTGTCACACAAAGGGTAGATACAGCAGAAAAACCCTACCTGGATGCAACACATAGGAGCGCACACAGCCAACACACACACACACACACACACACACACACACAAGCTTTTAGTGCATCCACAATTGACTTTTTTCCCCCTGAAAGCAGACAAAAGCCTTGGATGAGTGTGTCTGCCAAATTCCAAATCCCAGTAAGTACAGTTTCACAGCGTGCGTCTCTCAGTGGTAACACATTCACAGAGCCAGTTAAACACAGGGGTTCAGCTACACCACAGAGGAAGGCTTTTATTACCAGACAGCACCCCGCATTTAATGTGACGGTCATATGGGAGTTGATGTTTGTGTGTACGTGCGTGTTGATTGGGGACAGCTTGTCTGGGAGCACAACTGCTCTCCCCAATTTGGTTTCACTGCAATCACATTCAGATCAATGTCAAATAAATTCTGTTTAAAATTAGTTTAAGGATCAGAATTAGGCATGTATCAGTTATGGCTAAATTAGGGAAGTCATGTAAGTCAAAGAAAAGTATGCTCATCCTGTGTGTGTGTACGTACTGTATGTTTCTATATTAGGTGCCTACAGTAGGTGTTGGACTCTTCACCAAAGTGTAAGGAGTACGGAGGGCCTCTTTACTTTACTTAAACACACTTGCTGGGAAGTTGGGATGCATACTAGTGCTTGCTTACCAAACTTATCAATGGATACTTAAAAGGTGTATTTAGTTTGGAAGACTACATTTGTTTTAGTAGTATGGAATCTGTTACATTTACACCTGGCATTAAATGGGGGACCTCTGGGTCTAAAAAGTGAAGCCAAAGTGGAAGTGTCTTTAACCTGCATTGTTCCTAATGGTCAGCAGGGGGCGACTCCACTGGTTGCAAAAACAAGACCGATTGCAATAAAGTCTATGACAAAACTAAACTAATTTCTACTTGATTTATTACCTCAGTAAACACTTTCCTGATTAGTTTATTGTCTCAATTGCTGGTTTCCAGTCTTCTTCTATACAACATGATGTTCATTTGGTAAATTATGGTCCCATTTAGAGGAAAATAGACGATAAAGCAGGGTATTCTTTAGGGTGTGGCTACCTTATATTTAACAAGTCGACTCGCCACCACGGTGACCTAGGATAGAGGCGACTCATATCTACTGCACTGTGTACAATGTACTAACCATGAAATTGTTTTTGTGTCCTGACTGTTTTTTTCGTCCAAGAGCTTTGACACTTTCAAAGTGTGTTTTTAGTTCATGAAAGTGAATTGTAACATCTTGGTCGCCTAAAAATGTCTTGTTCAAAAGCCAAAAATTAGAATCCAATTAATATCACAAGTATGGTGAATTACAGATGCACCTTACTAACCACACTATCCACCCTCTTGGTTAACATCAAGGTGGCTATGTTCACTTCTTTTATACAGTCTACAGTCCACGTTGAGAATTGATCAAAATCCGATCACATCCCGTTTTGTGTTCTTAAAGCATGTTATTTGTTTTTGGTTTTTGTATCTTTACATTCAAAAACTGCTTTTAAGTAAAGTAACCTCACATTGTTTTAACATTGTCCTACACTTGTCCTCTACTGTCAGTCCTCCTGCAATCATACACATTAATACCATTAAGAAAGAGTACCAGTGCAGAGCAGTGAACAAAAAGCGTTCAGTTGTGTTGTGGTAACTTCATGTGGCAAAGAGTGCAGGCAACCTCTTCAGACTCCCTTTAGGCTTTGCAAAGAGGTGATGTGTCATTCACACTGACAGTAATACCCAAGAGACTCTG